GGCACCTCTTCTCACACATACTTCACATGCACCCATCTCTACAAGCACCGGTGAGGTTTGGGCAGCCAGTGGCACAGGAAAGAGAAGACAACTGCACTGGTATAGGAGAGGATTTACAGAAGCAGATTTTGGAGGGGGAGGAGATTGGATTTATACTCCGCCCTTCACTACCCAAGGGAGCCTCAGAACGGCTCACAAACTCCTTTCCCTTCCCCTCCCCACAACAGACACCCCCTGTGAGGGAGGTGGGGCCGAGAGAGCTCTTGACAGAAACTGCTCTTTTTCAAGGACAGCTCTCGTCAGAACTACGGCTTGCCCAAGGTCATCCAGCAGGTGCAAGTGGAGGAGTGGGGAATCAAACCCAGTTCTCCCAGATTAGAGTCCGCGCACTTAACCCACTACACCAAACTAGCTCTCAGAAGAGACTGGATTTATACCCCGCCCTTCACTACCCAAAGGTGTCTCAGAGCGGCTTACAACCTCCTTCCCCTTCCCCTCCCCACAACAGACACCCTGTGAGGCAGGCGGGGCTGAGAGAGCTCTTGACAGAAACTGCTCTTTTTTCAAGAACAGATACTGTACTCTTTAAGATCCCACACAGTACTATCAGAACCCTCACTGACTGAACTCACTAACTGAACAATTCCAACTGACTTTTTAAACTGATTTTTCTATAACTGACTGACTGACACCCACACAGATCCACACAAAACAACTTCTCCCACACTCTGTCATCCTCCAATCACACCCCACTTGTCTCTCTCAGTCACTGTACTCTGCATTCACTGCACTGCAACCAAACATTTAAAGAGACACACACACTCTAAAACAAGGAACCATTACAAGCTCTGACAGAACTGTGGCTTGCCCAAGGTCATCCAGCCAGGTGCAAGTGGAGGAGTGGGGAATCAAACCTGGTTCTCCCAGATTAGAGTCCGCACACTTAACCACCATACCAAACCGGAAGAGGGGATTGGAGGGAGAAGAGAAACACAGATTTGTGGGTGGAGCCAGGGAAGCCCACAAAGAGAACACAAACAGGAGTGAGAGAAAGAAACCCTCTGTGCCTTGGGAAAAGGCAATGCAGACACGGGAGGGAGGGGAGCCAACCTTTACCATGCCATGCCAAAAGAAAACAGCCAAGCAAGATCCAAAGACCGCCTGAGTTTTGCTCACTGCACTCTGCTGTGCCAGACATACCCAGTCAGGCCTTTCACTGGGCTCTCCTTGCTGGTGGGCTGGGTAGGACACGGGCTGTGAATAGTCCTTCACAGAGGTGGTATATTCCACAGGTCCGGTGCCGGGTAACGGGAGCTTCAGCAATGGATAGCTAAGAAGCAAGACACAGGAAGCATTATATTCTTAGGCAACCGCAAGTTACGCAGTTACACAAGTGGCAAGGAGGACCACGAACAGCGCCTCTGAAATGACACAAGAAGGCTGGTGCGATGTTGCAAATTATACCTAGACCCCTCTATATTTGAGATAGTTTTATTTCACCATCCAACCCAGGGTCTCCAAAGTTACTAAGCAGCAGAAGAAGAGGATTTATACCCCATTGGATTTATACCCCATGGCCCTTCACTACCCAAAGGTGTCTCAGAGCGGCTGACAAACTCCTTTTCCTTCCCCCCCCCAATAGGCACCCTGTGAGGTCGGTGGGGCTGAGAGAGCTCTTTTGAGGACTGCTCCTGAGAGAACAGCTCTGAGAGAACTTGTCACTGACCCAAGGTCACACCAGCAGCTGCATGTGGAGGAGTGGGGAATCAAATGTAGAGGACTGGGGAAAGTCCGCACTCCTAACCACTACACCAAACAGGACCCTTTTTGAGACATATCCGTCACTTCTGTGCCCCTGCTAGCCCAGCTGGCAGCTGACGAAAGCTCAGACGGCGATCCCGAACCCAGTGACGGCCAGCTTGCAGACTGACCTACTTGTTCTGGTTTGTTCATGCATAATTTATCCACATACAGAACAAAAGGACGTTCCTAAACCAAGATACCTTAACATTTCATACAGCTCTCCCCCAAACAAGAAATGGAACATTGCGCAGGGGCGCTGAAGGGTTAGATCTTGTCGTCTGACTTGCCCTTTCGGCAGTTTGTCCTTTGTTCTCAGGTGTCCGTCAAGTAAAGATCCTGCCCTCTGAGTGCCTCTGAATTTAACAAGTAATTTAACCAGCCATTAAGAAGAACAGACACCTCTAAGAGCCTCTGAATGTCACCTTTCAAGCTACTGCTAGGAAGGCTGAGAAGGCTTTGAAGGGTGACCTGAAGGAAGTTAACAGCTTCTGAGTAAGCCTCTAGAGGAGAATCTTGTTGCACGCAGAGAGTAAATGGATCCGAAAGCAGAAGGTAGCTGCAGATTTGTGAAACCAAGAAGGGGTCCACAATCCATTCTCACCAATGTTACCCTTGAAGGAACAGAACATGCAGCACAGCCAGGCTGCGATACAAGTCAGCCTGCAACCGGTCTATGTGTGTGTGTGCATGTGTGTGTGTGCCTTACACAAACACATGAAACTGACATTGGTGTGGTGTGGTTAAGTGCGCGGACTCTAATCTGGGAGATCCGGGTTTGATTCCCCACTACTCCACTAGCAGCTGGCTGGATGACCTTGGGCAAGCCGTAGTTCTGTCAGAGCTGTTCTCTCAAGGACAGTCCTCTAAAAAGCTCTCTCGGCCCCACCTACCTCCCAGGGTGTCTGTTGTGGGGAGGGGAAGAGAAAGGAGTTTGTAAGCTGCTCTGAGACTCCTTTGGGTAGTGAAGGGTAGGGTATAAATCCAATCTCCTCCTCATCTTTACTGATTCGGAACATTTTATTTATTTATTTTTTGATTTGATTTGATTTGACTGGTACCCCACCCTCCCCGCCGAAGCAGGGCGGCTTACACAAAACTGCAAACAAATGAATAACACATAAAAACATCGATATAAATATCCTCATAAAACACAACATAGTTACTAAAAATGGTTTATATGACAATGGCGGTGCAATAGCAGCAAAGTCAGCAAATGATTTTTCTGCCCGCAGGCTCAGGCTGGATGGTGGTGTTGGGTCCAGGGTCTCAGATCATTAGATGCAGCTCCTTACCTAAAGGCTTGGTGGAAGAGCTCCGTTGTACAGGCCCTGCGGAACTCTTCCAGGAGCTCATTCCACTGGGTTGGAGCCGCCACTGAAAAGGCCGTGGCCCTAGTTGATGCCAGCCTGGCGTCCTTGGGGCCAGGGAGGGCCAAGCGATTTTATACACCCTTCTTTTCTCCTGATACAGTCAGACCACTAATCCACCCAGTAATCCACCTATCTCAGTACTGTCTCCTTACAGACAGGACCTCTCCAAGGTCTCAGAAAGAAAAGGATCTGTTTCAACACCTGCAAGATACCAGGGGGACTGAGCCTGCGATCGTCACCATCCAAAGCAGGGGCTCCGCCTCTCTTACACAGGCCCCTTAACCTCCCCCAGCACTTCAGGCATTTCCCATTGGAGGAAGGCTTCCTTGGGCTTTAAAGCCTGCCTGTGCAGATTGGAAGGATGCAGGCAACGTTTTTAAACGTAGCCATTTTTAAAGCATAATGACTTGGCCAGCGTCAACCTAAAGCCCTGGATCAACGGGTGCCTCACCAGCAGGCCAGGACACAGAGGGCGGTGAAGAGGATGATGGGGATTGGGCAGGAAGCGCAGAGTAGCCCGTGGTTGTAGAACGCCTGCGATATCTTCTCACGCAGCCTGTCAGTCAAGGTCATCCTCAGCTGTCCATCAGGTACCTGCCATCCCGGAAAGCGTCAGGGGAGGGGTCGCTGGAGCCTACCATGAGCAGCGTTTTGGAGAAGGCACAGCGCAGGGCAAATTCTGAAAGAGAAGGCATCATAAAAGTTCCTCATCAAAGGCTCCTAAGTAAGCTCAAAATCATGGGATAAAAGGACAAGTCCTTTTATGGATCAAAAACTGGCTAATTCATAGAAAACAGAGAGTGAGTGTAGGTGGGCAATTTTCTCAGTGGAGGGTGGTAAGCAGTGGGGTACCGCAGGGATCAGTACTTGGTCCACTGCTTTTTAACTTGTTCATTAATGATTTGGAGATGGGAGTAAGCAGTGAAGTGGCTAAATTTGCGGATGATACAAAGTTGTTCAAGGTGGTGAAAACCAGTGAGGATTGTGAGGCACTCCAAAGGGATCTGTCAAAGATGGGCAAGTGGGCGTCAACATGGCAAATGGGGTTCAATGTGGCCAAGTGCAAGGTGATGCACATTGGAGCCAAAAATCCTAAATATAAATACACATTGATGGGGTCTGAACTGGCAGAGACAGATCAAGAGAGAGATCTTGGAGTTGTAGTGGATAACTCACTGAAAATGTCGAGACAGTGTGTGACTGCAATAAAGAAGGCCAATGCTATGCTGGGGATTATTAGGAAGGGTATTGAAAACAGATCAGCCAATATAATAATGCCCCTATATAAATCAATGGTGAGACCTCATTTGGAATACTGTGTGCAGTTCTGGGCACCACACCTTAAAAAGGATATTATAGCTTTGGAAAAAGTGCAGAAAAGGGCAACTCGAATGATAAAAGGGTTGGAACACTTTCCCTATGAGGAAAGGTTAAAGCGCTTAGGGCTCTTTAGCTTGGAGAAAAGACGACTGAGGGGTGACATGATCGAGGTTTATAAGATTATGCATGGGAAAGAGCAGGTAAAGAAAGAGGTACTTTTCTCCCTTTCTCACAATACAAGAACTCGTGGGCACTCCATGAAACTGCAGAGCGGTCGGGTTAGAACGGATAAAAGGAAGTACTTCTTCACCCAAAGAGTGATTAACACATGGAATTCACTGCCACAGGAAGTGGTGGCAGCTACAAGCATGGACGGCTTCAAAAGGGAATTAGATAAGCATATGGAGCAGAGGTCCATCAGTGGCTATTAGCCACAAGGTATAGCTAGGGGCTCTGGGGCAAGTGATGCTCTGTCTTCTTGGTGCTTGGGGGGGGGGTCAACAGTGGGAGGGCTTCTAATGTCCTGGCCCCACTGCTGGACCTCCTGATGGCACTGGTATTTCTGGCCACGGACCCCCTGATGGCACCTGGTATTTCTGGCCACTGTGTGACACAGAGTGTTGGACTGGATGGGCCTTTGGCCTGATCCAACATTGGCGTCTCTTATGTTCTTAAGGCGGCACGTGAGGGCACAAAGGGGAATGGGCAAATCGTGCCAGGCCTGGCTTTCCAGAAAAAGTTGCTTCCAGCTTAAGAGAAGCCATTTCCACAAGGGACCTCAGAACCACTTGCACCGGTACTCTGGGAATTGTGATGGCTGCGGCACGCCCAGAAGCTCAAATGACCAAACTGAGGCTATCGTACTTGGGACACATCATGAGAAGACAAGAGTCACTAGAAAAGATAATAATTAGTTGTTGTAGATTTTCCGGGCTTTATGGACGTGGTCTAGGCATTGTAGGACCTGACGTTTCACCAGCAGCTGTGACTGGCATCCTCAGAGGTATAAACGCAGAAAGATGGAGTCCTCTCTACAAGTATATTGCCTTATTAACAAATGTAATACTAACATTTAGTTTAACTGGGTTATGATCTCTCACTCTTGGGTTTTTAGTTAGTGTGAGTATCTTTCCTTTATCCATAGATTTAGTCCCTTCCCATCCTTTTCCTTCCTACCTGCCTACCATTGTGCGACCACGGCCACACAACCCAGAAAACCTACAGCAACTAAGAAACTCCGGCCGTGAAAGCCATCGACAACATGAAGATAATAATGCTGGGGAAAGCTAAAGGCAGCAGGAAGAAAGACTCAACCTCAGATGGATTGATTCAATCAAAGAAACCATGGCTAGGGGTGTGGAATTTTTCTCTCTCTCAGTATTTTTCGGTTCAGGTCTATGGGAACTGGAAAAAAATTCAGTATTCCCGGAAAAAACCTGGATCCTAATACTGGTAAAGTATTTGGATCCAAGATTTTTCAGAAATCCCGAATTAGAGAGAGAGAGAGAGAGAGAGAGAGAGAGAGAGAGAGAGAGAGAGAGAGAGAGAGAGAGAGAGAGAGGGAGAGAGAAAAAAAAGAGAGGGGGGGGGGGGGCAGGAAAGCTGCAAAAAACCAGCTGAGAGGCAGCTCAGCTGAATCTCCTTTGGGCAGTCCTTTTAAACCGGACTGCCCAAAAAAGCCCGCAAAGCAGCTGATCCTGTGGGGAGAACTCTCCCCGCAGGCTCAGCTGGGGCTCTCTCCAGCAGTTCGATCAAACAGGCCAAAAGTGCCCCAGCTGAGACGGTGGGGATCAATTCCGCTCATGATCTTGCCAGATTCGGAACGATAGGAGAAAGGGAGTTCTAACAATATGTTGGATCCCCAAGCATCGAGAATAAATCCACGTTTTCAAGAAAAGCAAAATTTATTTCAAAGCGTTGAAGACATACTCAAACACGTTCTTTGTTAGAACTGGGGATACACAGGTAGGGCGAGCATAATAAAGGAAATTCAAACAGATACATATCCAATGAATAATATTCCCGCTGGCGGGCTAATGAAACGGTTGCGCGCCCAGTCCATGGGAACCAGGCAGAACATCAGACAAAACACAGGTGCAGTTCTCATGAGATAGCAATAGGCAAGCATTACAGCATCTGCTCCCCCACACATCCACCAGTAGTTATCTTAGGCATTCCAGCACAGAAGCAGGATAGTATAAACAAGCCGGGTACAACAGGGTAAGGATAGATACACAGAGGTCACACCAAACAGAATGGCAGCTTGCTGACACCACTTCCCGAGGACGCCTGTTCCACTGAGGAACCACTCTGTCAGGAAGTTCTTCCTAATGTTTAGCAGAAAACTATTCTGATTTAATTTCAACCCATTGGTTCTGGTCCGACTTTGGCAAAAGAAAACAACTCCACACCATCCTCTAGATGACAGCCCTTCAAGTACTTGAAGATGGTTATCGTATCACCTCTCAGTTACCTCCTCTCGAGGCTAAACATACCCAACTTCTTCAACCTTTCCTCATAGGACTTGGTCTCCAGACTTTTCACCATTTTTTTTGCTCTCCTCTGGACACATTCCAGCTTTTCTATATCCTTCTTAAATTGTGGTGCCCAAAACTGAACACAGTACTCCAGGTGAGGTCTAACCAGAGCAGAGTAAAGTAGTACCATCACTTTGTGTGATCTGGGTACTATACTTCTGTTGATACAGCCCAAAATCACATTTTACTTTGATGATCAAGGCCAGCCCTTCTCACACATTAGTGTTGTACTCTGTAGGATTTCAATAAAGCCCCCCCCCAGAAGATCAGCATCTGTGCTCACATTGATACA